AGAGTCACTTTCTCAATCGATCTAAACTTGACTGTCCCTCTGTCCGTCTTGTTGTCTTGTATTCAACTTACATGCCCCGATATTCTTGATATTTTTATGATATTTGGTACATAAACAGGAAAAAGAGTTATGTCGAAATATTTCTACTTTGTATATTCTCGTCCTCACTCTCACTTTAAACTCACCTTCTTAAACAATCTAATCTTATTTGTCCGACTTCTTTTTTGTGTATAATCTTCAGGGAGCAATTTTTGATATGTTTTTATGATGTATGATGTATTGACATGAAAAAGAATTATATCGTACCGTTCTTCATGCATAGTTCTATTTTGAAGACACTTTGCTGGAAAAATTAACTTACCATTGCCAATATTTATAAATTGCTTCATCCTTCATTTCTTAAAATTTTTCAAGTCGGAGTTGCCCTACAACACCGACAAGGGTGAATAAATTACAAGGTTCTCGCAAAAGAAAAACATTTATTGTTACATATATCGCGAAGGAGCGCTTTATACGCTAACTTGTCTCCCATTTTGTAATACGAGATAACACCAAGAGACCCGGATAAAAGTAGCGCCACTAATATAACTGAAACTTATAAGTTAACCGTGGGCATGTCATAAAATTTTGAATCGCTTGATTTGAAAGTTCATATAATCTGAAAATCATAGTGATCTCATAAGACTTATTGAGTGAGGTGTTACTTCGTGTTTCGATAGTTTATTGTTTCAAAGCTCATGTCACAAAACTTGGAATATAAAGCTAAGGTTTCGTGTGCATTTAGTTTTAGTTAATAACCGCAGATCAGATGTGCGCAACCCTGTCTCAATAGGAAAAAATAATAACTTTTAATACAATTTAAAGCTGCTTTGTTAAAATGGACTTGACCGGTTCAAAATCCCATGGATTATAAGTAAAAAACTGCAACTCACCACAGCACACTATGACAGATAGTGATCAAATTCTACCAATATATTACATACCTCAGGTAAAAAGAAAATGCGTAGAAATGTTTTCAGCCATCTAATGGTTATCTTCTTCTTCTTCTTATTCTGTAATTCAGTGAATTTAAAGTAATGGCCGCTAAAAATTTTCTCTAAAAGACGAACGTATTTTTCTTGCATGTTCTTAAAGTTCAGAGAATCACCCAAAACGTTATTTTATGAAAATGCTTAACTTATTAATATAATCATATAATGATATTAGAGACTTTAAAAGCTTAGAGTAAATTTCAAAGTAAAATTTACTTTTTATTCCTTTATGGAATTCATGGAATTATTTCTGACTATTATGGGGTTTCCGCTCTATAATACCTAATGGCTTTCAAAGTAACCAAGCAAACAAAGTGTTTTCTTTGAAATTTCTAAGAAGAACAAGAATATAATTGACATGTAATTAATGTTGGACTTTATTCCACAAAATTATTCCCAGTTAAAGGTTAAGCTAGTAGAAGCATATTACATTACAAATTAATGAATTTAGCTTAGCATCCATAATTGACTTTAGAATTGAAGTGAACAAAATGTCCGCTAAATTATCACAATATTATCGTTTATATCATAATAAAGACATTATTGATGTGTACACTATCCTGATCAAAAAGGAAAAGCATGTAACATAAGCCAGAATAACCACGAGGTACGAATTTTATCAATTGAAGTAATTTCGTAAAAACGTAACGTAACCTTAAAAAAAAAAGGAATCCGGCAAGAAATGTAAAATATCCCAATGGAACTTTAACTGAGGAAAATGAGATCTCTCATCCTCTTTGACGAAATATGACATGAATATTCCTCTAACAGCAATTTCTCCGGTGTCTTCATAGTCAATGGCTTAAGAATAAAAGATCCTCGTCCTAATGACAGACCATGTGCCATATTCCTAGAAAACTCTTTATCAGCTATAGAACTTAAAAGCTGTCTGTTCAAATCAAAAGGGAGGTCAGTCGGTCTCGATCGCATATCATAATCATGCAATAGTTGCTCCGATTCCAAAGACTGAAAATGTCCGCATCGAATGAGACTATCGTCTTGGTTTCTTGAATCCAAGCAGCTGGCTACTATGCAACAACTAGGCTTCAAGTGTGGTTAAGTCTGACGAAATCATGGAATCTTGGACCGAAATCCTTAAGTTACTTCAAATCATTTATGTCGTATCGGCTAGAGTTCAACAATCATCTTTCTGATTCTTTTCCATTGATGAATGGCATTCCACCTTATAAAGAGATGCGAACATCAATGAATTCAACGCACTCAACGATGGCCATCGTGGGATGAGTTCATTAATGTTTTTCTTTCTTATATTGACAGTGTAAAATAATCAATTTTGTTATCAACAATATTGTTTTAAATTTCTTGCATCACAATATTCTTATTGGAAAAGAACTATTAACAGAAACACTTTAATTTTTTAATGAAATTATACTCCAACATTCTAAATTGCAGTCCATTACAAATCCTTAATTGCTTGCCTTGATTTCTTTGCCTTTTCTAACTCAAATAACTAACATTAATATCTAAAATTTCAATTTTTTTTTTTTTAAAATCATTTCTGTATGATTGCTGTTAGTAAAAAGATCCTGACTGGTAAAACGTAATAGTCTGGGATCATGTACATATCTGTTTTCCTTTTAAAAACTCTATAGCCTCGTTTATTAATATTTGCTATGTGCTACACATAGTTTCTGTCACTTTGTTTTAAATTTTGTGTACTGAAGCAAAAGTGACAACAAGACTTCGCCAATAGCAATTTTGACCTAAAACAGTCTGACGAACTTACGAAAACCCCAAAATGAATCAGCAAACTTTTGTGCTCCCCTACAAGAATAATTAAGTTCTTTTATAAGCCTGCCTTTGTTTATTTGCCACATCTTCTTTATTTTATTTCAATTTTTATAAATTTTCCCTTTCTAGCGCTGCATAATATCCGACTACAATGGTCAAAAATGTTCAGTAATCTGCTGAGGAGTAAATCGTAAGTATTTCTTCGACTTGCATGCTTAAACGTCCGAATATCAAAAAGGCACAAAAATATTATATGGCCGGTTTTACCGTTGCCTAGTAGAAACATATGGTTAGTGATCTATCAGTGATTATGCTCGAAACAAGAGACTACGTTTTCGTCAGTTATCGCGATACAAATTTTTTCGTTTCATGCCGTTCCGAGATAGACCAGTGTGTATGATTTAGCTCCGTCTAACTTCTGGCTTTTTTTATGAAAGCACCTTTCTATATAGAAGTAAATCCGCCTGAGCCGCCGAGTAGGCAAAGAGTCTCGACTAGCAACTCAACGGTCGTGTATGATCAAATCTCAAGTACAGTAGAGTTTTCAATAAAGCTGATAGCCTTGATGCTAGTGATTTAAGACTTTAGTCTCGCAATTTATTCTCTGACTAAACTGGTAATAATAATATATAAAAGTAAACATGCGTATTTCATCTGTTACTATGGGCATGATATTTGAGACTGTGGGCACTAGTTACCCAATGCAAGTCATCCCGTTTGAATGAATGTGAATGAGAAAGTGATATGTATTTACATATATATAAGGAGATAAAGTGCTTGAGCTGTCTTCTTACGCTATACCATTTGCAGTACAATGGTATATATGCCACTTGCAGAACGATAATATATTAAGTTTATGCGGATGAAATGCGCACAAAAGAACTTGATATAGAATTGTCTTTTATTACAAAGATCGATTCGTAGTCACTTTCTGAATCAATCTCAACTTGTCTATCTGTATATCTGTCCGTCCATTCATATGTCTGTCCGTCAGTCCGTTTGGTTTTTATGTTCAACCTATATGCGTGGCATATTTTTGACTTACTTTAAAAATATATAGCACACCGGCCTGCTTTGGCGTGAGAAGGAACGCCGTTGAAATTGATTAAGATCGGACTACTTTTTTGCTCATTTCCGCATAACGCCTTTTCTTGAAAGGTCGTTAGATGAATAACTGTATTGAGCGAGTTGATGTAGCGTGTTTAATGATACTCCCTTTGATAGCTAATTTACAAACATATAGTGTTTTGATAATTGCAAGCACGCACAAGTATTTGAGCTATACATTCAAATCGAAAAGGGCACCAAGTTTAGTAAAGATCTTAGATCGAGTTTAAGAAAAATATTTGCAAAGTTTTGAGTTATAATTTAAAAATTCAACAATTTTCATATTATTTTTTACACTCATTTTTTAAACTTAAAGCTTTATTTCTAGCTTGACTCATATGATATAACCCATATATATATCTTTTTTTTATTATTTTTTTTTTAGGAGGATATGAAAGGCAGATATTTCGAGATTCTTTATGAAGCGGAACATCGAACAAATGCAGTGGAGAATACAGCAGCTGAGCGTTACTACATCTCAACTTGGTGCTTCTAATATTTCTAGGATCGAGCACTGTCATCATGCACGTAATTGTGATATCTTCCCTTTTACAGATGGGCTTAGTAAAGCCCGTCGAATGAATACAGCAACCGATCGCTGTTATCGCAAGCCAGGTTAGTGCATGTAATGTTCTTTCACGGCAACGCTGTCGTCATCACGTTTTCTTCTTCTTCTCTAACATTCCGGCCGGGTCTTCCTTTACGGATTGGCTTAATTCCACTGGGTTGAAACGTCTCGTCGTAGTATAATCGTCGGATCATGTCATGTTGTTAACATTCCTCACAATTCCGCGGTACTTTTGTTCGAACTAAGTACGAAACTATAAATGTCGTTTTCTTACCGCATAGGAGGCTAAGAAAATCTATACAAATCGTGAGCACAACTTAGGCTATATACACTTCAACAAAATCGTACATTTTCCCAAAGGTGCAAAGTTAACCTTTTAATATGGCTTAGCGACAATCTATCTATCCTTAAATCAACTCTTCATAACCGTTCCAAATTTAATTACTTTCCCGTAAGCACAGAGAGGAATGGAGACGGTAGGTGTAAGGACAAGTAAGTGGTGCAAGTAATAAGTTTAACGATGATAATGATTTTTCACTTACGTTTTTAGGTCAAAAAGTTTTGTTTATTTACAAACATGCACGCGTTTATAGAAATTTAAGTTATCTCGTAAGCAGCTTACAACAATCACTTATTAAACATTACTCACGCACATCTCATCATTTATTATGCATTATAATGATGATTTTAGCACAATACACGCCGTAATGCAACATCAACATACCTACGTCTGGGAATGAAGATGAAAAATTAAAAGTTCAATGTTTTCTTCTTTTTTTTTTTTTTTTTTTTTTGATTATTTTTTAAGAAGAAATTTAATTTTTGAAACTTAATTGAAAAACATTTTCTTAGTTATCATTATTTTTGTTTAACTTGAACTATGGACACAAAACATTTGAAATTATTTGCAATTTATTTTTTAATACATAATTCAATATTTCTCATTGTGACCGTCCACGTTGTCTAACAAATGATAACTGATTTCTTAGCATCGTGTATCGTCGTTTTTAACTGCTAACGGCCACGACAGGATTACGGACTTAATACTAAATAAGAAAAAAAACAACAAATTTTTACTATAAAATTTGTGCGTACATTCGTTACCGTTATCTTATGCCCCTTTAAATATGCTCGTTAGTCAGCGCTTGTTTTGAAAACACAACATGTTCGAAGCCTTTCAAACATGTTCGTTATGCTTGTCTTTACCGTTAAGGAAATAGAAAAATTCCCGGAAACTGTTTGTTTCGAGTATGCGTGCTTTGTATCTACATTTAGCAGAGATTTAAATCGTTTGCGTTAACTTCAAATTTGAAATTAACACTGAACGTAACCAAATATTCTACACATACGTTATGTTATGTAAAATGATTGTTTCCGATTTTATGTTTTTGTACAAACCTTCATGAGATTAGATTTTTCCCGTCGGATTGTGATTTTTAGGATAGTTTAGACTTGACTTACAATTCTTCGAATTGTTTACAGAGAATTTTATTTCCAATATTGCAGTGCTGTTCTTCTTCTTGTTTGTACGAATCTCCCAATCGCAGCCTCTTGATATGTAGGAATCCATTCGCTTCATCGCAGCATCGACTGTAGCCTTAAATTCTAGTTTAGCCACTACTTGCTTCAACGCGTCTATTTCTAGACTTTCATCTTAGCATCACCTTTATGCATTACTTTTGCGGCCAGAGCACTTCAGATAACTGCTTTTGCTTTTCTTGAAACTTTTTCTCGGTTTTTGCCATTGAATTTGGTGCTATTTCGACCGCCTGTTCTTAAAACATGATACAAAATAAACAAAAAAATTTACTTAAAGAATATAAACAAATAGTTTAATTATTAAACAATTTGCACTTTCAAATTTGGAATACGCCCAAGCAAGTTTGTCCGTTCATCTGGCGAAACTGTGTAGTAGTTTTTGTACACATTCTTCCGTTCGCAAAAATGAAGACATCGCGTATAAACTTTTTTTTTTTCCATAGAAATTTGCACCTTTATTCGGGAAATAGAAAAAACGAACTGCGCCCACTCAACTTTGTAGAATATGACAAATTAGTTTTGTTCCTTTTTGTTAGGATCGCGGTGATACGTATAAAAGATTCGGATATAATTTTCTTGTTATTTTTCTTAACACTTTTGATGTGCGTGTGTGTGGTCTAATTTAAAATTTCTTGAATTTTACATTATTCAATAATTTGGTTAATATTGTAAATGATAATGATAAATGTCAAAGGTTAAAAAACGTCTGCTAATTATGCGGTAAGATCTTTATTCGAACTCAATGAAAATATTAGTTATATGCGACTTTCTATCGAGTTTGTGTGAAAACCATCTAAATCGAACCTTTTGTAACATGTTTGTTGGTTCCTAAAATTCAAATACGTTTAGATTTTGATTAGAGTAAGTTTTACAAATATGGAAAGGATTCGAAGCTTATAACAGCTCGGGCACTTACAATGACTTTATTGGCAAACTTAGAACGTCTTCAATTTAACAGCTTTCATAAAGTCACAAGCTTAATCTGAGAGTTTCCTGCTTTCTTCAAAACTCTGCTATAATTGCTATCAGCGCTCAGGACAAATTTAAACCGAAACAATATTCTATTATGTAACCAGAATCTATAAATAATGGAAAGTTTTGGTTTATGAATGAAAACGACTGAGCCGACAGTAAGCAAAAGCAAGTGCTATTATAAAATAGGCAGCTGGGGAAGAAAGGAAATGGGGGAGGTGGAATGTAGAGCAAGGCAGAGAGAAACATGCCTTGTTAAGAAAACGCTTAGATCAAAAAACAATGGACATTTCTTAGTAAATTTAATTTTTTTTTATTAGAGAAGCTAGTGAAAACGCTATAGCTGGCCCTGGTCTACTGTTAAATTTCTACAATTATTCATATAACATTTTGCACTTTTCAAAATAAGGCGTCTTATGAGCAGGGGTCGAAATAAGTGGCCTGATCTAAACCATTTCATTAAGGACAACACATATCGTTTTACAGAATGTCATCAAAATATCTCGAAACCTGCTACCGCTACGATGCACACAAGAAAACAAAACGGACGTATGGACAGATAATGTTAGATCAGTATAATAAAAGGTGTGTCTATCTCAAATCACTCTGGGTGTTGCATACATTCGCACAAATTTTATACACCTCTGTACTACGAGAGGTGTAGGATATAAACAGGGTTATCTTTGGAATGCCTCTCCTTGCAAGATCTAAAAGGGAAAAGGGTTACTCTTGATTAGTATTACATTTTTAATTAATTGATGCACGTCCGTCTATCTGCCTCTCCATCTGGGGCTTATATTCTTCCGAGTGCAAAAATTTAAATGTCGGCCTCACATTTACCAAAAGCATTAAACATTGAAAACAAGCAGCTTGGGCTTGAAAATGGGTTATATCGATCAAAGAACGTTCTACTAAGACCACTCATTTTTTAACTTTATTCACAAACTATAACAGATATACAATAAAAATTTTATTGAACAGGGAATATCATCTATTCGAGACCTTGAAAACTTCTGCGCATATCATATTTTCGCTTATCGAAATCGTATATAGTGCATTTATTGACAGCCAACTGTAGTTTGCTTTTTGAGATATAGTAGACGTAGACCATAAAAGTTGGCTCCTTACGATATAAGACATGTAGCCAAACTCAGTTCAGCTTGAGTTGGAACGTAGGAGGAGGATAACCAAAGCTTCTTTAGATCATTATCTATATGCATGGTCATAAGGTTGATGTGATCATCAGCACTGAAACGCAAGTTAATTACAAAATCAAGACTGGAAACCTGACTAACTAAGTTAATTAGAAATGGAATCTTCTAAAAATGGCAAACTCTTGGGTATTTGAAGATTGATTAATATTATAGATCGCGTTATTGCCATTATAAGGATGACTGACGGATCATCAAAATAACGTTTACAACTTTCTATATATAAATTGCAGTAAGAACGTATCAGAAGTCTTTAAACGATTACTCTAAATATTTTTAAGCCGGATCAGTAAACTTATACACTTTAGTGGCATTGAGGAAATTTATTATACCAAGTTAGAGTTAAACTATAAGAATTGTTAATAAAATTCGTCATAGCGACAAACTCTGTGCATATGCTTATGCATATTTATGGTTGTTTTTTTTATAGTAATGATCTTAGCAACGCTTTTCCCTTTCAATGTTTACTATGGAAGAAATAGTTGTAAGTTTAAGAGCACAATTGCTTTTATGAATTCATGTGTATGTATGGGTGTGTGCGTATTCTGAAAGTTGACAAAATTGAAGCTGACAACTGCAGCGATAATTTGAAAAGTGAAACAAGCGATGCTTACGAAATATTTGTGATTGAAAGGTTGCGGCAAATTAACACCTCCTCGCGAAACCTTTGGCATATAAATAATTGCTTTGCTTTGGTTTTGCCCTTTGCCGCAACTACATGAATACTTTTATGCTGGGATATATGAAAATTTATGGTAAAGTAACTTTTACACTGCATCCCTGTTAATGCGTAAAGAGGATGTTGAAATAATAATCAATGGTTTCGCACAGATATTAATGCAAATAGTCCTGAATCACTACTACCTTCGGTACAGTTGAGTGAAATGCTTGTACTTAAATTTCAATTTTGCTTAATAGAAATAAGTAAAGTGGAGTAAGAGCAATTTCTTATTCAGTCGCAAAAGATGTGTATGGTATTCGGGCGAAAGTCGAGTAACTGGTATTTATTTGGCAATCATCGTCATGGATCTAAACGCGCTACATATAATAAATCATTTGACGGAAACTAACTATAACAAGGCCATCATATGATTCCAATAAGAATTCCTTCACCGAATTTTTACCTATCTATCTTTGATATCTCTTATAAAACACGTTAAGGTTGCGTGAATTACAAAGATTTTGAAAATACTCTGACAGAGAATGCTATATTCAGGTCTATTTCATCCCGCTATTCTCATCTAATCCACTGAACACAAATTTGGAATTTAAAAAAATCGCGGTTTCGTGGAACTGAATCGATTTCGTATGGTAATGAACAAACAATACAAGGGTCACTTACAAGTGAAACTTGAGAACATTTCATAAGTTTTTATTTAATATATCAGCTCTTGGTAGTAGTGGCAAAAAACCATTAACAGTAGGATTTTTCCTATGAACTGTAGACTATGAAGATATTTTAACTAAAAGCAAACAGTGTAAAATAATAGATTTTTTGGCAAAAGAGAGAGAGCATGAGTTTGAAGATATTGCAGAAAAATGCTCAAAGGTTGAGGATGTCTTGTCAAAAAGAAAGCTCAGTTATGACAAAGAAATTGTAATATTATATCTGAAGAAAATTTTAATTAATTTCGTCTTAATTATAAAAATATATTAAGTTGATTTTTAAGTTTTGAAACCTAAACCCCCTTTTCGTATAACACGGATTCGCATAGCATGGCAGTTTTTCGGAACATAACTCCTGTGCTATACGGTGGTTACTTGCAAAATAGAAATGCTTTATTTTGAGCATTATTTACACATCCGCGCAAACTTAAGGTCCTCCTACGACAAGTGCGCATAAGACTTTGTTGCTTTTTTGCACTCTTATGCAAATATTGCAGGAAGTAGAGATATTCCATGCAGCTCTCAAGTATATGGCTATCATTTTGCCTTTCGACGTCAATAAGCAACGAAAAGTGCGATGTTTCGAAAATCCGTAGGCGTAAATGTTGACCAAATATGTTGCGTATTCGTCATAACGATCTTATTATGCAACTTCTTTGCAATGGTCACGGTCACGGTTCGTTA